TAAAATGTTAGTTTTAGGTCAAATTTCTGTTGTTGGGTTCAGTTTTATGAATTATATTTTTTTCAAAATGAGTTTCACAGATCACATCCTCTTTAGCCGCTTTAGCCTATTCTTGTGCTAAATGAAAATTAGCCTCATATTCTTTCATTTTCAACTTTGACTTCCCCCTCTGGCAGTCAGGAAAAATCCATGCTGCATAGTTCAAGGCGTGGGATAAAAATAGCGGCTTATATTCCAGAAAATACGGTAATAATGTGCTAAATAAAGGCTTCACTGCACATACAGTATACATTGACAGCATCTAGTATTTTCCATTTCTTTCTATATATTCTGATCTCGAATTAGGGTGAAATATGAGGTTATATTGTGCAGGATTTTCATTTTCCAAATATCACAAACCTACAAAGTGAATTTGTAGGTTTGTGAACTTGATTCATTTTTTTTGGAAAAAGTGTTCTTTTTACTATGAACTGGCACAACATTGGTCTTTGGGATGAACTCGTTATTGTCTGAGGGTGTTATTGTGTTTGAAATTCACTGGTTTGTTGTGTTTAGAGAAAATCCTTCTGAGTTTCTCAGAAATGTCATGAAATTACAGCGTTATTGCCTCTCTCTGTTTTCTCCACTGTGTTCAATGCACTGCATCAAGAGTAACACTGCATTGAGCACAGAGGAGAAAACAAAGAAGCTAAGCCATCACTGAGGGGGAAGCCTGTGGTTTCAGTTCCCAAGCATCTACAATTCAATCCTGGAACTCAGTCAGAAAATTACATAAGAACACTCAGCATGATTCAAATGGCCAAACACATAATCCATACACAACAAAAGACTCCAACGACCCACAAATATCGATGGGTGGGTCTTTGATTTGTATCTGAGTTAAGCCTGTTTTGTAATAAGTGAATTTTCATCACCTCATGTGACAGACTGCAGGATTTTAGCTATTTTGGTTTGGAATAAATGTAGTTTTACCTCAATTTTTTTAAAATTAATAATTATATTTGAATCAATTTTGATTTATCCACATTTTTTTTTATTGCATGACTTTGTCTTCCATTAGTGGTTTCTCACTGGTTTTTAATTCCAAATCTGTTTCCATTTCTATAGCAAAGACCTCAGGTTAAATCTCAAACAATGAACATTTGAAGCACATATCAGAAAACATTCACTTAAACTTAAACGCCATTCATGAAATAAAAATGAATCCATGCTAATTTATGTTATGAATATATTATTTCAAAAAACATTTGAATTGCTTTTACACACATATGGGAATGATGCTATCACTTTCTGTATTTCTAACCCAGGATAAACGAGCAAGGATGGAGGTCTTCAACAGGCCCCTAGGGGGTCCACAGAGGTACTGCATGGGGGTCTTGATTAAACTTTTTTTTTTTATTTCCCCCCTGCAATTCTTTCCACTACTTAAAATGTCTTTAAATCCACATTAACATGAATCACACTGTAGTAAACAGATAAATGGAGGCAGAAGATGTCTTTCAGTCATCAATGCACACATTCAGCGACACACAGGAGCTCTTTCAAGCTGGGCACCATTTCATTCACAACACCTGTCCCATCAATGAGGAATCAGAATCAGAAATACTTTAATAATCCCAGGGAGAAATTACTTTCGTTACATTACTCCATCTGATTTGATCTGACTATAGGACCAGTTTCATATATAACACAATTTCATACAACTATAAAAATTGGGGGGTCCTCTCCAGGGTCCACCCCTACCATTTTTTCTCCCTCTAATACAGATGGTGGCAGCAATTTATGTAGATATTAGTACTTGTAAGGATCAATTTTATGCAGAATTATCATTGATAAAAGGAGGTAATTAATGACAATGGAAAATATGTTTGCACCAGAACTCAAACCTCAAAGAATTGTATCCACTATACTTTTTATCTAGAAATCACAGATGCTGCAATATGTATGCGTCTATTTGTCAACAAAGGTTGAAGGAAAGTATAGTTTGTCGTTATTTAGAAAATAGCGATCTTTTTCCCCATTAATTTTCCTGTTGTTGATTGACCCTGAGGTTCTGGGGCCTATCAACTTTCGGCCCCTCCTCAATGTACATTGGTTATTGCCTGGTCCCCCCTATAAAAATTTTCTGGCTACGCCTCTGTTGCCACCGTATGTATTAGAGGAAAATAAATGTTAGTGGTTATGGTGTTATCCTGGCCCCCCATCTAGCTCCGCCCGTGGACAGGGCCCCTAAGAATTTTGGGGCCCCTAAGCAACTGCTGTCTCTCAATCCAATCCACTTTATTTATATAGCACATTTAACAATAGAATAAGTTTCCAATGTGCTGTACATAACAAATAATAAACAACAATACATAAACAGAATACACAATTGCTGATAGTTAGGCCATTGGTGGCCTGAGAGGCGCGTCCATTAGGCTTAATGGGAAAAATATGGATAAGATATATCAGCTTCCTTTAAGAACAGCAGGCAGCCAAAGAGTCCTTAGATAAATGCTTCTAAACATCAGACACACATTTAGGGGCGATCCAGTGATTTCCGTTCAAGGCAGTGGGAGGCGCGCGCGGCGTCCGTATCCCTTAATTTGATGTGAGCGCGCGAGCGCGCAATCATCCGGCCAACCAACCGCGCGGCGCGCGAGCCCGCTCTACTTAAACCAACCCAGCAGAACCAAACCGAGCCGAGCTGAGCTGAGCTGAACCAGTCCCACTGTCAGACAGGAGGCGCTCAGGAATGACCTCTTAGCGCATCTTTTAATAAAGAAAAAAAAAAACGTTTTTTTTTTTTTTTCTTCTGTCTGAAAGGTTGATCTCATCCAAATCGTGGACTCTACAGTTATGAGGACCGATGTTTGCATCTGGCAGCTGCTTCTAATCAGCCACACAGGTGAGAAATGAAATGTTTGGTGAAGAAAATGAAAAGAAATGTCTCCTCGCTGTTTGATCGTTTAAGATGCGCGGCTGTTGGATTCCCATGAGCATCAGATCACTTTTCGGATTATGCAATCGGTGCAAGACAGACGCTTTTTGCACGTTAAATTATAAATGTGCGGTGTTTTTTTCTTCTTCTATTTTTCGTATTTATTAGTTTTTTTTATTAGATTAAATCCTCTGGGATCTGAACATCCACCAACTGTTTCTATAAAGAAAAGGATGTTGTGCAGAGTGCGCCCCAAGACAAAGCTTTAAATGTTTATTTGTTTATTTTGTAGAATAAATGACAGTAAATTTGTATCTTTCTAGGAAAATAAGCAATCCTTGTGAATGCCCGTTGTCTGCATGCATTGCTACTTAAAGAGTCTGAGAACATGACTGGCTGCAGAGTTCAGTAACAGGTGGGGGCGGGGGAGGGGGGTGATAGTGAAAGAGCAACTTTATAAAATCTGTTTATAATTACAAACTAAAGGGAGATTGAATTTTATTCCGAGTTTCAAAAAATTGGTAATCTGGATTACCACATTGCAGAAGGATGGAGAGGATGTTTTTAGTCTGGCCTCAAATATTCATTTTCATTTATCTATCTTTTAATGGGATGATGTTTTGCAATGTTCAACCCTTAAGCATTTTTTTTTTGCATTTGTACTTTTTTTCAGTCAGCTCAGTTACAGGGCGTTATATTTAGTTTTGTTGCAGCATTATTCCAAATGGAAATATTGATTTAATCTATGTTTCCCCAAACATTTTATAAACAATTTGCTATAATAAAAGTGAGGATTACGTTTTTCTAAGGTTGTGGCAAAACTAGGAATTCACAAACTCTTCTCTCCCTCTGGTTTGTTGGGAAATGTCTGTGGAGCCATTTTTAGATCTTTCCAGATCATAATCTGTAATCTGGTTTAGCAACTCCAAGACGTCCCAGAGTGGTTCTGATCCATTCCTCCAGTCTGAGCACTCCAGGATGTCTCTGTTTATTGCAATCCTTTTTCACTATCCTGACTGTTTTGCCAGCTCCTGCTGCTGAAACGAATCCCTTTAGCATGATGCTGCCACCACCATGCATCACTGCAAGGATGGCACTGGCTATCTTGGTCAACCAGACTCCCTAGTGTAAAATAGACCAGACCAATCACAACCCATAATCCAATGATACTTTTTTTTTTTTTTTTTAACCATGACTGATAAGTTTGCAGCTGCAACGGAGCAGTGTTTTAAGGCCCGTTATATGTCATGAAAGAGGTGTTTATATTGTTAAAACTGGTTGGTTCAGATCTGCAAAACGGGTATTTGCAGCAGAAAGTGTGATTTCTGTCTCAACAGACAGGAAAATGTTTGTTTGATCCCTTTATAAACCTCAATAAGAACTTGCTTTTAGGTGCTGGTGAATATTCATTATCCAGGTTATAGTCATTCCAAAAAAGTAGAAAAAAAAAAAAACAATCCACTGAATCCACTTCCCATTCAGGAAGCTTTTTCAATTCAAAATGTAGGTGGCCTTAAAACTTGTTGGTTTTTTTATGCCAAAAAGAGCCCAACAGATTTTACTTTCACAAATGGAGCAGTATGGCTATCGCCATAGTGTTCCACTTGATTTATGCATATAAATAGTTTTATTATAATTCATGCAGGGAGTATTACAGATTATAGTGACACTTCAATGTAAATAGATCAGGAAAGGAAAAAAAGGAGAAAAGGTGAAAGAGAGTGCACTTGTGCATGTAAAGTCTATCGAAAGAAAAAGTGCTCAATAGTGGTTGTGAGGAGCCGAAGAGGCACCCCCCCAGAGCACCGGGGGACATAAAGCCCCAGACGCCCAAAGGGACCCCAGAAACAAAGGCGCCAAGGAGGGGCCAACCCAGAACCCCCAGGGGTGCCCCACTCCCTGGCGGTAGCCCAGGTTTTGGCTTAGAAAACATGCAAATTGAACCAGAAGAACAGGTCCACACCTTAGGAATTGGGAGTTTATGTTAATCTCGGAACTCAACGCTAATTCTGACATTTTGAATTTAAAAACTTCCTGGATAGGAAGAGAAACGTCTTCAAACTTGGAAACAAATTGCAGTGGATTGTGTTTTTTTTTTTTTTTTTTTTTACTTTCTTGAAATTGCTTATGCTGGCTGTTGCAGGTTCGAATCCTAGCCCTGCTGGCCTTTCCCAGATGTCTCTCCCCTGTCTTCTCACCCACTTTCCACTCTAATTTCTTTATTAGGAAGCCCTGATGGTCTTTATTTTGTTATTTTTGAAAGTAGTGTATTTTATCTGACCATTCTACCATACAGGCCTTATTGGGGGATTGTCTTTCTGTGAGGGCCCCCCCTCTCTCTCTCAGGTGAACGCTTTAAAGACATGCAGCTATAGGAGGAGTTCTGGTGGTTCCAAACTTCTATCATTTATAATAGTTGAAGGAAACTCACTTAAAAACTTCATGGAAATATTTCTGCATCATTTGCCAAATCTGTCTAAAGTCAATTGTTTTGACTTCATGCTTGATGTTTGAAATGTGAAATTCCCTTTCAGCTCTGGGAGTTTTAAAATAGACATGGGTGCCTTTACTAATCATATCCAATCAACCAAATAGATAGATACTCAATCACTGCAATCATCTATAAGTGTATGTATGTAGCTTATAATATTCATTGTTATTCATTATTTTATCATTTATACATCTTTGTAATATATTTCTATCATTCAATGTATGCATATATTGATATTTGTGTATATATACATACATACATGCATGCATGCATACATACATATAGATAGATCATGGATATTAAGGCAAAGCAAATTCAATTATAAAGCACATTTTACCTCCAAGACAATTCAAAGTGCTATGCATGACGAATAATAAAAAAATATTTAGATATTTTCAAGTCTGTATATTCTATATTTTGGAATATTCTCATTGTTTAACTCTTAAGAATACTGAAATACACTGAACCATGTATCTTCATACATGTAGCCATTATAGCTCTATTTGGAAGGCGAGCGACACAAAAGGTGTGAAAAGTTTAATTTTCAGTGAGTTATGGTTGATTAAATGAGTGGATACCTCATTAAACTTTATAGATGTTTATGATCTGTAACAAAAGCTGCATCATGGATAGGCTAGGGCACTTTATCTCAAAGTTTAACTGTATTTGTTTTCTTTTCTTAACCATTTTGGTTTTTCCCACACTGGAAAACCAATGTTAGTCCAAGGCAGTGTTTTATTATGGCCGTTTAGTGACGGATATGATCAAAAGGCTAAAGCTAAGTTTTCTCTAATCTATTTAGCCTTCTTGTCTGCTGAGGCCCTACTTGTGTCCAATTTAAGCCGGCCTTAAAATGTCAACCATTACAGTGGCAGCTCCTGTAAAACAGCAACTCTTCTCTTTCATGGTTAAAGGTCTACCTCACATTCGGTGCCTGTAATAAATCTATTTTTAAAACTGCTGTTTTTGTGAAAAGATTTTAGTTTGCTCGTTCCACTTGGCCGCTTTGATTTTAAGTGTTTCACAGATGATCGCCCCTATAAAGCTGTTTTTCATGATCTCTTCGATTGACTTTGCATAAAATACAAGTGGCTCTTCTGTTAATTATTCTAATAAAGAAAAATTATTTGAAATAATCTTGGGAATGCTTTCATCTCCCAACATCCTCAGGAAAAGCTTTGATGGTTTGATTAAAACTGGGATAAATCAAGGAAGACGCTACCTTATTTCTCATTCCCTCCTAACAGGGTGATTTGATTTATTTTGGCTTTTTTTTTTCCTTCTCAAAGGATCCACAGAAGATGACGCGCGTGACATTCTGCCCCGGAAGCCCAGATGAGGGTTTTTTAATGTCCTCAATTTGCTTTGATGTGATTTCTCTGTGATAATGTCTTACCCATTAGAGTGAAAACCACATGAACTGTAACGTGGGACAGAAATACAGACTTGTGCTGAAGTTACAGGAAGCAGAGCGTTACATTTTTCCCACATATTTCTCTGGTTTTTATCCTCTTTTTGACACTTTTTTTTTCTATAATAATGTAAAACTCCTTGTAATCCTAAAAAGACAGCATGGAACTATTAACCATTAAAGGCTCCACCTCTTTTCAGACCTGCTCTGCGCAGTACAAGTTACACCATAAAAAAAGAAAATAAATAAAACGTCCTTTCATCCTTTTAAGGTTGGTTCATTCATCATGCATGCACCTTAAAGCTCTATCTCTCAGGTTCTTTTTCCTGAAAAGAGATCACTCTGGACAAACTCTTAAATAACACTTCATAACTTATGTGTTAAATAACCAGGAGACATGACAACAGATTCTGATAGAAATTGTAGTCTTACTCAGATCAGAGAAGTTGCTTTGAATGTACAGAAGGCAGCTGCTCACCTCTCAGGAAGTTGCCCCAATTAAAAGTTTAAAAAGCATTTTATACATCTCCAGTCTGCAACATTATCTTATTTTACATCATACACATTAGCAGATTAGGAGACATCCATGGCTCCAGCCTTATCGAAATATAACACTTCGTTCTTAGCTGAAGGACACCGCTCTCATTCCACTTCCAAATCTTTGCCACATACAGAATTATAGAAGATTATAACTGTATATCCAACCTGAGGAACTGTCTTAATAAATTCAGACATGCAACAGGCAGCCAATACCAAGATGTAATAAACTCACACATCTTCTATGATAATTATCCTAACAATAATCTTACTAGTGTTGCGCTGATGCCATTTTTTGGCCCCGATACCCAATACCTGGCTGTGTAGTATTGGCTGATATGATACCATCTGTTTAAAATTGATGTGTGTGAGGAATTGCATACTACTTGGATGTAAAATAATTCCCATCATGGCTTTGTTAAGCTGCTGCCTACCTTTGTGAAGCAGGAAATAGACTAATACAAAGTGAATCCAGTAGAACTTTTTATTGCCTACCTGGAATGGGTGACAATAGTTGAATAAACTTTT